CAGCCAGGTGACCTTTCCTGTCCCTCCACCTCCTTATAAACGTGGAACAGAAACAACCTTAAAATTCTCAGATTTTCCATTTCATTTCCAACCCTGCAATTTCATTAAATATTTCTGTAACCCACAGAAGTGCTTCAAATGTAAAACATTTCAAATACTTGCCTTGGAACAGAAAGGCCATACTTGCATGAAAAAATTTAAATACAACCGTAATTGTCAACAAAAACTTCCATCATTCAGGGCATATTTAAAAAAGCAGTCTTCTCCTGTGTTTTTTATATACTAAAGAAGGGATCATACTCTTTCTGGCAGCACAATAACAGCTGCAAAAGTCAATTGAGTGCACTTTTAATAACAAAAGGAAACTCATAAGGCATTAAAATAATCTAATGCAAGAGAATGGATGGTTAGTGGAGTCCATAAAATGACATCAAGCTCATCAGGAATATTTTTATTTGGAAGCTATAGATCTGCATTCTTCAGAAGTGCTGGTATTTTAAAACTTAGGGAGCTGCAGCAAAGGGCTCTTGTCTGAAGACAGCCACTGGCCAAATGACCTCATGAATTGAGGGATTATAAAGTTTTAGTTCATTTTTATGAAGACAGTAGAAAGACCCCAATACAGACTTAACTGATCTTGTTTAGGACCCACCAACATTACTGCATCAGATTAATAACAAACAGTTCCTATGAATTAAATGAAGCTATTTTTAATGTGGATAAAAATGCAGAGTTGACTATTTCCACACTACTAATGTCATTCTCACTCAGTCATCCTCATTTGTTCACACTATCCCTCATTGTAAACCCCTATTTTAGCACAAAATACTCTCAATAGCTCTGTTAACTCCTAAAACATCACCTCCTCTACTCCTTTGCTTATTTGAATCCTAAAAACAGGCTCTACCCACCCACAACATTCGACACAGTGTCCTAATCTAGTCTGGCTGATCATCTCTGATCATTTAGTACTGCGCACTCCTTACCTACTGTGCACACCATCTTTTTGTGCCGTCCAATACACCACACTCTGATTTCTTTGAAGCTTTCAGGGTCCTCTATCATTTCATTTCTATTTTCATTGACAAATTTCACCATGTCCACACTGAATTTCCACACCTCTTACGTTAATTTTTCTCTTGTATAATATCTCTTTCCTTTTGTTCTTAGAGTTAAGACAGAACACAGAGATAAAGCTTTACCCTCTTCAGTTTATTTCTTCTCTTTTGCTGCCCTTTCTTACCTCTACAGCTTCATAGCTACCTATAATTTCCTCTCATTAAAGGCCAATAATTAATCACCAAACACATTTCAATAGGATTCATTTGGTTTAAGTCCACTGTTTACGGATCAGTATTCACTATGCTGTCAACTACGTCCCAGCTGTCAGCGAAGTAAAACCTAAACCATCAAGAAATCTATTGTTGCAGTAAATAAAACACAAACCCAAACTGTACTGCATTCCTGGAAGTCATCTGAGAGTGTTCCAGAGGCAATCTACAACTCATACTTGGAAACTTCTTTTTGGAGACCTGGCAGGCATGTTATCTTTTACCTGTCATGAATCACCTGCTTCAGGATGTCTGCTGAACATCCCACGTTTACTCTGCATGCAATTTATGGACTGGAACAAGAGCCAGTAACCAGACACCTGAGACAACATAAAACTCCAGCAAAAAAAAAAAATCTTCAACTCACAATCTGTTTAAAAACTATTTTCTGTTTTAAACAGAATTGTTCCCACTAACAGTGATCCTTAACCTTCTAACATTATTTGGACTCAAGAAGAAACTCAAATGGAGTTACCTAGTATTCTGCTGAAGTGTTGTATTATTGTTTAAAAAGACAAAAAGAAAAAATTAAAATATTAGAGCCAAAAGGAATCATTTCATGTATGGTCTCAGCAAGCACTGCTGCCAAAATAAGACGACCTGTTCTTCCCCTTCACCTTGTTATTTGTTCCTAGGACTACATTCTCCTTGCGAATGCTGCTGCTGGAAAGCAATTTTCTCCAATCCTTAGGCTCACACATGCAGCCAGCTACTTCATCCTGCCACAGAATGACACTGCAATAAAAATGCTCTGTGCATCTCGGTCTTCCTTGACTAATGCAATATACAAACCATCCCTTCTGTATGTGTTCTCACTGACTCTTCGTGCTCCAAAAAGGAGAAAGGTCAGTGCAATCAGTTGTGCTCTGCACCTGGTTATAAGGTTCTACTAAAAATTAAATATTAACAGTGAACTCTTCTGCTTATTGATAAAAACTGACATATAAATTTTATTTGAAACTTTTTCAGGAAGTGTAAGAATTTCCTCATTATATATTTTAATCGTTTAAAATGATATTCTGAATTTAACAGAAAACTTCTTATTGAGGAGTGTACTTTACATTCTAGGTTTTGACAAGAAATCATTAACATTAATTATATTTTAAAAATTATTATCTCCAAAGCAAAGAACCTTAGATGACTGGCTTGCCAGAAATATCTATTAATAATTAAAAAAGAAGTGAGGTTGATGTGAAGGATCTCTAAGTAGCTATTGCATAATCTTTGCAAAGATCTTAATTTTTTTATATAGCTGTTCAGATGAAAAATAAAGCTAAAATGAGAAAAGAATATTAAAAGCTAACAATGTTATTTAGGAAATATATTATCTCAATTTCCTACAAGCAGTTGCTGCACATTTGAAAGAGACTATGCCTAACACTAGTACAGTAATTATTTTAAATCATTATTGGGAGGGGGGGTGGGAATCATGTTTGGCCTTTCATTAAAGCAAAAAGAACAAGAATATTGAAAAAAATGCCTTTCTTATGAACATCTTTATTTGTATACTCATGACAAGACATCCCAGGGAGCCGTGAGCATGCACACACACACACAGAGTACACAGAAATCAGGTAAGGTGCAAAGGAGGCATGCATTCCTACAGCATTACACAGAGGGAACTGCAAGGTATAGTACTTCTGAAGTACATTAAGTCATATTCTGTGGGCATGGAGAATATATATGAGCATATAGGGGAAAAAAAGAGAACAGATAATAATCCTCAATATCTGCAATGGGAACACCAGCCTCTGGCCTATGAAATAGTAAAGTCCTTATAATGCACACCTGCCCTAGTCAGGTTGCAAGCAGAAAAAATACTATATGGCCACATAGCCACCATCCTTAACATTAGAGAAAAGAAAAAGCTTTCTTCCAAGGCTAAGACAAGAGATTGTAAACTCAAGGAGTTTTTTTTTTCCATCATCATAATTAGTACCCTGAAAAGAAAAAGAAAGAAAAAGAATGAAGAGATTAATTTAGAACAACTGCAAATGACTCATTTAACCTGCATATCCACCAGGATAGATAACTTCTAGGCAGATAACTCTAAATGCAGTTTCCATGAGAACAGAGTCACATCATGATATTTTTAATGTCTTCTCTTAGGAAGGAATCTACATTTAAAATACAGAAACTAGCATTAGGAAGCTAAACAAAAGTTAAACTTAGGTTCACACCCCAGTGGAATACTTTTACTCTCTAATAACATAAAAACCATTCCACAGTAGTACCAAGAGGACAATATCAACATTATTACTAATTGTGCTACATTCATCAAATTCTGGAACAGTGCTTTACTCTTCCCAGGAAGAAGCAATTAAAAAAAATTCAAGTAATTACTTAAACCCTACCCTATCAAACAAGCTCCAGAAAACATTCTGAGTGTACAACTCAAACATCCAGCAAGGAAAAGAACACCCACAGATGTTGAACTATAACCGCAAGACCTAAAGGTCAAACCTGAAATAATTCCTGCTCTGAACAGTAAAGCAATCCCAAATACCAATTAAATAGAAAAGCTCCTCCAGAGAAAACAGTATTTTTACTATTCAGAAGAGGTACGTGATACAAAGGAGGGAACAACAGCGATAGGCAATGCCCATCCTGCTCCTTCCTAGGAATCAGGAGAAGGTTCTCCATTCAAAGACCACTTGGCCATGGGTTCTGTAAGCCTGGTGTCACCTGGGAGAGGTGGAGGTTTTTTCTTTGTAACTGGAAGAGAGTAACCGTACCTGCCTGTTCCTGACAAAGTTAAAACACAGGGATCTGATTCGTACTGCATGAACTAATCCCCAACTACTTACCTAAAAGTAAGAGTCAAGAAGGAATTTTTCCACTGTAATAAGTGAGACTTTTTATAGGACTGACAGAACAATGCCAGAAATCTGAAGAATAACTTTGTAAAACCATCGTGAGTTCTGGTAAGTCAGATATCCAGATCAAAAATGGCAGGTAGAAAGCCTATTCTGAATGCTGCAAGCTAACCCTGAGCGTACCAAGAGATGACAGGAGGCCAAGGGCCTCCAAAAAAAAAAAACCCAAACAAACCCCAAATGAAAAAAACAAAATTATAAAACCACTAGTGGGAAAGACACTGAGGAACTGTTATCTTTGGAAGGGGCAGGCAAATATGCTGTGTCCAGGAACAGCAGCAATCCCCAACTTGATCCCCAACTGACCCAGGCTTTGATAAGCCCTAGTTACAAATGAAGGAAAACAAACCCGATGCTAAGCAGACAGTTGAGGGGTGTGGGAGCTCCCCCCATGAATCTGTCTGGGATTTTTTTGTTTTTCTTTACAAACAGGCATTTAAAGCCCATTCTAATGCTGCCCTTTAGCAGCACATGCAAGGCAAAGGGCTTCTGATGAGAAGAAAATCCCTCTAGAAAAGGTATTCTGTCTCGTTAGCAGAGAACAAATGCAGCAGTAACACATTTAAAAGCACACAGAAAAATGGACATGTGTTTGCTGCTGCTGGGAGAACTCTGAATAATGGGCTAGAACAAATGCCACTGCTAAAGAACTGCTGCTAGTAGAAAATGATCTTTTTTGTCAAAAACAGTTGTATTTTTAATAGATGCAAATAGGAAGAATTGAATGAGTAAATTAACAGCAGAAATACAACAGTACTATCTGTGGGAACTGTAAGTGCTCATTTATTCTTACCTTCTTCTGCCTCATCTTCCTGGGATGACACAGGCCCTCCTCCACTTGTTGGGCTGGCCAATTCTTCCTCTCTTGCAGATTCTCTTTGTAGGCTGACAACTTCATAAATGGCATCACCAGCGCTTGTGTGGCTTTTCCCTTCAGACTAAAACAAAATATGTGCATGTATTAGGTCCCAGCTGTTGATAAATACAGTTCTAATAGTATGCCAAAACCAAACACACATAAACAAGTCTCCTATCAAGGCTAAACAACAGTACCAGCAAGACTCTCCCAGATTTCTTTGCAATGGCATACACAGACTGGCAGTAATTGACAACTCTGTTTCTCTTTCAGTTTTATAGGTAGAAAATACAAATAAAACTGCATTATTTCCAAAGCTGCCTCTTAACAACCATTTTAAGTACTGTTCAGAAAGCTTTCCAATATTTAAATATAGCTATACTGAGATGAGGTCAAAGAGAAAGTGCAGGAAACAAAAAGAGGAGAGAACAGGAAAAATCCTGGAGTAACTGACATCACAGGAACAAGAATCAAATGCCTTGGGGAGGGGGAAACTAATGGTAAGAGTTTTTAGTAGGTAAAGACAAGACTGCAGAAGAAACAAAACCTCATGCTTTTTGAAAGTCATAAATTGTGAAAAGCCCCTTCTAGGGCTTTACTCATTAAGAAACCAGAATAAAAATCACCTTTCTTCCAGAGATTATAACTTGTAATATATCCCTTTCCATAGGGAAGTGTATTGGCTGCAACTCACTGTAAAATTGGTGCTTGTAGCCTAAGCTTTATTTATTTCTTACCTTTATATATATATATATTTGTGTGTATCTGTGTACGTGTCTCTATTGTGCACACATGTATATATCACGTTATGTCTGTCAATCTAACAGTTAAATTAGCCTGGAAATTTGAGTGTGGTACCTGTAACAATATATACATTTGAGGTCAGAATATTTTCAATGTAAAGCATTTTGTTCTGTAAAAGCAGTTTTTCTCCCAGATCTGTCTCTTTAGGAATTTGGTAACGTTCAATGTAAAGTACCACAAAAGTTGAGGGGCAAAAGGAAGTTGTTCGTTTTCTTTTTACTTTAAGCTGGAAAAGTTCAGAGTTTATTCTAAGTCTTTCATGTTCAATCAACTTCTACATGAAAATTCAGTTAGTTACCCATACTTTAAGCACTGGATACAAGCTTGCAAGTTTTAAAACAGGAGTATTAGTTTCTCCTCTGAGTTACAGTTCTGAACACAATTATCCTTCAGTGACATGCAGGGATTAATATATTTGTAGGGAATCGTATAAAACTGCAAACTAATAATTGTATTAAATGAACCAGCCCAAAATTTTGTGCTATTTTGTCCTTTGTGCATCTTGCATAATCAGTTAAAATAATTTTTGAACATATTAAAACATCAAATTAACCATGGAAAAGAAAAAGAACGTCATTTCAGTTAGAGAGTACTCAGTTTGTTTCAAAACCAACATTATTATTATGAAGTTAGAAGATTCCATGACACCTTTGCTGGGAATGCACATGAACTGCTGAGCAGCACTTGCAATTTCAACCAACTGCTGAAATTATGCAGATGAGCAGCTTAAACAGGGACTCCTTGGACTGACACAATATAAATAATTCTAAACAGAAAAAACTTTCCTACTGTATTTTAGATTAATTGCTCCGATCGCTTCCTTTAAAGCCGATATGTCCTGGAAGCAGCAACTCCAATTATCAGCCAGTTTTGCTGACTGAGCTTCTCATGAAATCAGTTTAATGAACTTCAGGGTTCAGGCATAAATATCCTGCATTTTGTAACATTTAGCAGGATGATATTAGAGCCATTATCCCTGTTTTATTCTCATACAATACCATTACCAAGTAATTACAAAGTACTTGGGTAAATCAATCGAGTATCGAAGTCACTAATATCCATCACTATCGATAGCTTTTATTTTTGAGAGAGTAAACCATGAGGTACTGTGGATTTTGTATGTGACAAGAATTACAAGCCTTCAGCTCCTTGCACACATTCTGGTTAACTGCAAGACCCATCTCTATAAAATGCAAATAATTGGGTTATTTGTTTTTTCTGAAGCACGAATTTGCTGTCTCCAGGAATCCACCTGTATAAGGACCATGTTCTAACGATGGAAACGTGAATGAGTAACACAGCAAGACAGACAGACAGACAGACAGAACAACCCTAAATCACTCAAACAGCAACTGGCACTTCTGTCATTCCTCACATCTGACTGCACCTCACCAACCTGGGCTCAGGCTATTAAATCTATCTGAAATCCTTCCTCAGAAGAGTTCCACTTTTTCTCTGCCCATGCAGGCAGGTGCCATTTACCCCTTGCAGGAAAAGGCCATTTCACTGCTTCCTTTTGGAACATCAGTAACAGATGTTTCCTCACTGGAATGGGCAACCTTGCTGAGACAGCTCAAATCCAATGTTTCCTGCCAAGGGCTCTGCATGCTGGAATTTGGAACTGGCCAGGCTGCACGCATGAAGATCTCACCCACAGTCAAACACGCGACGTTTGCACAATGACCGATAGCATTATTGTCACCATTTCACATCAGCAGAAAATTACACCACAGGATTCATTGTCTCACACAGAGAATCCATCTATCTTGGGAGCTGAGGTTTTTTGTATTGATCCACTATTACATTCCCTAGAATCTACTTCAGCTCAACTGCTTTCCCCAAAAGTTCACACATCGCTGATCCCAATGCCATCTGCACAGTTATTTTCCAAGGAGTAAGAATGCCCTGAGGTACAGCACCTTACAGAGGTATCTGCAGGAACAGCTACCGCCATACAAACTGTCCAGCTGATAACTGGCTAAATACAGACAGGTCAAACACAGACATCCTGGCATCCATAATTTGGACCTAATCTTGTAGAAAGATTACAAAGATTAAAAGCATTCCTTTCCCAAAAATCTGTAGAACAGCTCCTCAGGATTTTACAGCAGGAGGAAAGGAATGTGTTTCTTCAGGGAGGGGAGGCACATGTAATGTTGTCATATTATAAGGGGTGAGAAAGAAAAAGAAGGAAGTGTCCACATTACTCAATTAAAAACAGTACAGCTGTGATTTAAACAGAAAGTGTAACTGATTACAGACAAGTACCAAACAGCTGAGAATGTAGCATTTCCAAATGTATTTTATTTAAATTTAAAATGTAGATATTCTCAACATTTGCATATAACAGTTGGTTTTCTCAGATTTTCTTTAAATTCTAAGTTGCTGTGCTCATCTCTAGAAGAAATACAGAGACAGCACTGCATGAGATGTATTTACTCACAAAGTGTTAAACACAGCTGCCCTTTTGTCATATGATATCAACATAGCTTGTTTTTTCAGACCTATTACTGCGCTCCACAGGAAAGTAACAACTCAAATCACAGAATCCCGGACTGGTGGGGGTTGGAAGGGACCTCAGGAGATCATCCAGTCCAACCCCCCTGC